TGTTGCTGGATTCGAGCGCAGATCTCTGGATCTTCGGTACGATTGTGAGCGCAGCCGCTCATAGTCCTACAAGATGTAGGATTGTGAGCAGCACTGCTCGCAATCGGAGGCATGTTGATAGGATTGTGAGCAGTCCTGCTCGCAATCCTAGACTTTGCTCGGATTGCGAGCGCGCTGGTAGTAGTCGTAGGCGTCACCAGTCACCTTGGGAGCAGAGCTGCTCTTAGTCCTAGAAGATGTAGGATTGCGAGCGCCGGCGCTCGCAATCGCACAGAGATGCTACGATTGCGAGGAGTGCTGCTCACAATCCTTCGACTTCTAGGATTGAGAGCGAGGCTGCTCTCAATCCTTCCGGTCTAGAAAAGAAGGTTCACCCTGGTTCACCCTCTCTGCCCGCCTTGTGCTGGGCGCCAGCTCGTCGGCCGCTTGGGAGGTAAACGTCGGCTGCATGAGCGCAAGCTTCCTCTCGGCGGCCGGCAGACGCCGAACGGACCTCGTCGCAACGCGTTGGCCGACCGAGAGCCCGTGTCCGCCGCTCGTCCCGCGATTTCTCCCACTCCACGGCGACGGCTCTCACTATCTCATCCATGTGGGCATCGGGCTCGAACATCTGGCGGCGTCGGAAGTCACAGAGTCGCTCGCGGCGACTGGCGTCACGGTACTTCAGGGCAAGGTTGCGTTCCGCACGGCCGCTCCGCTCGCCGCAGTGCGCTTGCTGCGCTCTGCCGAGTGTGTGAGCCTGCTCTGCTGGGCTTCGCCGATGCCGCGCATGCCTTGCGGCGACGAGGCCTTCTCAGACGCGTTCCGCTGCCTGCTCGCCAGGGAGGTGCTTCCCCAGTCAGCGGCGCTGGAGAAGGCCTGGCGAGCCGCAGTCAATGGTGTGCCGACAGCTGCCTCCGACGCTGCTCAAGCCAGCAGCGTCCCCTTTCGAGTGACAGCGCGGCGTGGCGGCGCGGAGAATGGAGGCGGCGTAACACGGCAGGAGCTTGGGCGGATGCTGGCCGAGGCTTGGCATGACGCTTCCGCGGCCAGGCAAACAAACAGAGAGTAGTAGGAGCAGTATGGCGCGACTCCTCCGCACCTCCTGCACTGACCAGGCCACGGAGTAGCAGCGGTAGCAGTATGGCGCGACACCTCTGCACACGTGGCACGACGCTCCCGCGGCCAGGCGGGGAGGCTTCTGCGCCACGGCGCGCGGCTACGCGCTCGAGATACTTCTGCAGTGGAGCAGCGCGCAGGTCGTCGTCGAGCTCCCCGCCCACACAGAGTGCCGCCGGCTCACGACTGGCCGGCTGAGCGCGAGGGCTCTAGATGCGGACGCCGAACCCCGTGCTCATGCTACCACTCGAGGAGACGCGCCCTCCGCTGCATTCCGCCGAGTTCATCGCACTCGTCTCCCTCGTACTCACGCTTGCTCCGAGCACACGGCCCGAGACCGTCCTCCCGCCCTGAGCTCGGTGTCTTCACGACGCAGGCGAGGAGCTACTGTGTCGCTCCCGCGCTGCACCCGCCGATAGGGTGGGCGCTCGCGTCGCTCGCCGAGCTGCGGCCGGGCTGCAGAGTCCTCGACCCGATGTGTGGGAGAGCGGGCGTCCTCCTCGAAGCCGCTCGGCTGCAGCCGCTGGCCGCGTGTGTCGGGCCATCGAGAGTAGATGCTCTACACACCTCCCCGTCCTCGAGCCAGCGGGAAGGCGCGTAGTCGGCCATCTCCAGCCGCATTCTGCCGCCCTCGCGCTGCCCGCACTGTGTGTGTGCGGCCCGTGCGAAACGCACCGTGTTTGTACTGCAGGTGCGATCGGAACGCCGCCCAGCTGGAGGGCGCGGCGGCCAACGCCGATGCCGCAGCCCGGCAAGGGGCGCTGCCTCTGCTGCTGATGCACGCCGATGCGACGCGGCTGCCTCTTCACGACGGCAGCGTGGACGCCGTGCTGAGCGACTTGCCGTTCGGGCGGAAGCACGGTCGGCGGGAGGGGCTGTATGCCGCGGCGCTGCGAGAGTGGCGGCGCGTCCTGCGGCCGGGAGGCTGCGCCGTGCTCCTCACCACTCGCAAGGCGGAGCTCGCTGAGGTGGTCTCGGCTGACCCCGCGTGGGCGAAGGTTGGGCGGCACCATTTGATGATCGGGGCGCTCATGGCGTGCGCGCACGTCCTCAGGCGGCAGTGAGTTGTGCGATGCCTCACGTGACGGAACTGGACGATCGCGCGGACTTTGATTTAAATGAGGGTGCGGTGCGTCCTAATCTAAAATCCGAGGATTAAGGATTGAGGCATCGCTTCAGTGAGGCCAAAGTGAGTTTATGGATGTGTGAGAACGGTACGGGACACTCGCGGAGCTAATTCAGAGTCAAGTGATTGCGCGAAATCCCAGACTGTGGATTTTGGTCCTCGAGTACTAGTACCTAGGTACGCACCTTCTAATTTAAAAACAAACAAACGCCGTCCCACCGGCCGCGAGCGCTCGAAGCGCCACAGAGTTTTATCTTGACACTTGAGTCTTGAGAACACACTACACCAGCGAGCGCTGCTTTGTCTGGCGCTGTCGTCCAGACTTTACGCGCTCGAGTGCAAGTCTCACCGAGGCACGGCTAATCACTGGCGAATCTGCAACCGTGTCAGTCAACCCAACCAAATCAGAATGGCTCAAGTTCAGCTGCCCACTCGCAGCAATGATCTCCGACCGAGCCCTGAGCCGCTTTTGCCTTAGCCACCCCGACAGCATTGTCGCGGCTGCCTGAGCCGCCCTTGCTTTGGCAGACACCGTCGCAGCCTCGCTGCTGAGATCCTTCCACCGCCTCAAGGCGGCCCCTGTGGACCGCCGAGAAACAGTAGCTTCGCTGATGTTTCCAACCATGAGCCGCACTGCGACGAGGTGATTGCGGTGAGACAGGCCGCGCGCTCTACTCACGTTCACCCTCCTAGTTGGCACGTGCTGTCGCCCAAACCTGGCGAGTGGGGACCCTCGACGCTGGATGCTGCTGCTGTTGCGCGTCGGTGGCCGTCGAGGAAGCGCTTGCAAGTCTGCCGAGCTGATGATGCCAGATTCTCTGAGCGGCGCCGAGAGTTCCAACATGTCGTCCATACGCTGCCTGCCGCCAATCAGCCATTTTCTGTTTGCGCTCCGGAATCTGGGCAACCCGGCCGTGAATGGTGCGCCCCTGACGAATATCCCAATGCGACCCCAATGGTGCTCCCGCAACCATTCCAGCTCGTCGTACGGCACGACCAAGATGCGATCGGGAGCGCTGGCCATCGCCTCCCGCAGGATTTGCCTCCCAATTTCCTCCTCTCGCACCGCGTCGCTGCGCAGGCTTCGCACTGCGGCCACCTTGGCGGCGGAGAGGTTGGTGCTCGCGTTGGCGGCTGCTAGAGTGGCCGAGCGATTCCTCTGCACATCGGTGCGGCAGTGCTGGGTAACCTTGCTGATGCGGGTGAAGACCTTCTCACGCGTCACCACCACCGCCCGGCAATTGCTTTGATCAAGGTGAGAAGAAAGGTTGAGGAACCATCGACCGGCCTCCGTGCTCCCGTGACAGATGGAGGTACGCTGCAACACGTACGCGGTCCCCGAGCCGCAGAAGCCGCCGAAAGGTAGCGAGACATGCTGTACCACCTGCCGATCGGGACCTTCCCAGCACGGCGGCCTCTCACCGTCCCAAGCACACCCCGCTGCACTCCAAGCGGAGGCGCGGGGTCCTTTTGGTTGCCTTCCGGCAGTGCAGTTGTCCCCGGCCGCTCGTCCAGCATCGGACGCTCCTCGTTTCCGAACGATGCGTGAGCCCCCGGCTGATTCGAAATGGCGTGGCTCCGAATCTGAGAGTGGAGGGTGATCGACACGCCCGAATCGTTGTCGCTGCACTCCTGCGATCAAGACAGGAATGCTCGCGCGGGCGGGATGGCATGCGGGCCAGCGCGGGCGTGCTCGCCTTAACGGCTGCGCGGCGAAGGGGCTTGCTCATCTCTGCCTGGGGCGCATGGCGCACGCTTCGTCCACGGCCACCTGTGAGCGACTCCTTCTCCTCGGCTGTCGCCTTCCCCGTCCCTCCCCTCCGGTCCCGCTCTGCCTTGCGAGAACCCTTCCCGCGGAGGACCAGCGGCCGCCTCTGCCGCTGTGTCGGCTTCTCGGGGAGGCAGAGGCACCGCCGAAGCAGCGACGTGAAGGTAGATGGCTGACTCTCTCGGCGCCGTCCGGACCTGCGCCCGCTGCCGCTGCTCGCCGCGGCACCCATGCCGGTCGTCTGCGCCCGTCGTCGTGAAGTTCGCGCTTGGAACTGCCGTGCCCGCCGGCGGCTGCGGCTGTGCCGTGGCATGGCAATCGCCGTTTTGGCAGGCGCATGGTCTTCATCTCCGAGCAATGGATGTTGGAGCTCGCTGCCACCGAGTCCTATGAATTTCAAATGAATGTCACATTCATTCACACACACACACACACGGACAGAACAGAGAGACAGAAGGAAGGACAGACAGATCAGCCGAGACAGACAGAAAACATACACGGTACCGCCACGGGTACGCCGATCGCTGTCGCCAAGAGCTCTGGAAGCCTGGTCTCTGCGTGCGAACGAAGTGCCGGTCCCGGGGTGGGGGGCGGCTTCGCGTGCGCGGCGGCCGGGCGGGCCATCGCGTGCGCGGCCGCCGGGCTCTCACTCAGTCTCACACAGACAGCCTTGCTCCACCTGCTGTCCAGAGTCCTCCTCACGCTGCAAAAGAAAAGCTTGCGGCGTTGAGCGCTGCATCCCGCAAACTGTTCCGCCCCACCGCTTGACAGCTCTCCATCAATCAGGATCTTCTCAACGCCCGAAGAGTCGCCCGGCCAACCGGTCTTGCTCGCTCTCGGACGCGGTGAGGAACTGAAAGGCGACCCCCTTTGGGGAACCGCCGGATAGGTTTCGATTGACTTCACGCAGGCCCGCCGTTGAGCCCAGGGAGGGCTCTCCTGCTCTTCCATTCGCTGCCTTGCGTGGTGGAGCGACGACCGCTCGAGGGTGCGACTGGCCAACCGACTGGCGTTGGTCGGCGAGTACCTGGACCCGTGCCTCTGCAGTTGCCGGCACGGTGGTCCCGGCCAGGGCTGAGAGCGCCGCCTTGGACGGAGTGAAGGGCAGGCGCAAAGAGCGGCTTGCTGGCGCCAGGTCAATGGTTGCAGACGGCACGGCGGCCAGGTCGTGCAGCGGCGAGGGCAACGCCTCTTTGCTCCGGCGCGGCTCGCTCAGAGGCGAGTGAACCGGGCGCCCCCTCCGAGTAGCGGCGGCGGCCGGCCGAATCGGACTGAGCACGTCTGCCGTGCCTGCCGTGCCGCCCGTGCTGCACTCGACGAGAGGCGAGAGGAGTGACAGAGCTGGTGCGTGGAGGCCGCCGCGGCGCTGAAACGTGCGCAGCGGCCGCGTCGGCAGGGAGAAGCTCGGCGTGGCGGGCGGCTCAGCAGGTGAGTCCAGTCCCTCCTCCAAGCCCACGAGCGTGCGAGTCGGCGTCGCGGCAGCGTCGTACCGCGTCTCGTCCAGGTCAGGGACGTCGTCGACCCGCAGGCGGCGATCGAGCGACTCGGCGAGTTCTTCCGTATTGTGGTACAGCTCGGTAACTCGCTGCAGCTCAGCTCGAAGCTCGAATGCGCTGCGCTCCGCTTCTTCTCTCGCCCGTGCGAGCTCGTTGACGCGCTTCACGAGGCGAACGTTGCGCCTCACCAGCTGGCTCGCCTCTTCGGCGTGCTGGCGCCGCTCGGCCACTGCCTCGGCCTGCTGCTGGCTCAGCTGCGCGTATTGCTCGCTCAGCTGGATGTTCTGCTCGCGGATGCGAGCGTCCCGACTGCGGAGGGCAGCGGTGGTTCGCGCGTCCATGTGCATGAGGCGCTGACAAAAAAATTCTAGAATCGAACCTTTGCCAGGCAACTCTACGACACTAGGCACGAGACTGGCGAAAAATATTTCGTAAAATGCATGCCTGCGAACGCGCACCCCGGCCCCCGCCAGGGCTTGGGCTCTCTAGCCCGCAACCCCATCCGGCCCGCGCCTTAGCGCTTAGGGGACCCCTAGGGTTCTGAGGGCCGGATTTTTTAAAGAGCTTTTAAGAAATGAGGAGGTTTGGGGGCTTAAATTGCCATTTAAGAGATTGCAGGCGCGGGGGGTCCCTCTTTTAAGACCGTTTAAGAAAATCGGCCTCACCGGCATTTGTCGCCGTTTCTCCAATACTGGTTACTGCAAAAATTAGGCACAAACCCGCCTCTGAAGACACATCTGTAAGTCTGGTGCACTGGCAGGAGCCATACTCGCAGGGGACGCGTGCTAGCTGACTGTAGCCAGCTTCCCGGCCTCCGGCGTCTACCGGGGGAGCCTCCCGGACCATCGACCTCGGGAGCTCTCCCGCACCTTTTAAGCGTTTAACCCTTTCGCGTCATAAGGGTCATGGACATGGTGACCAAATCTCGATATATCTCCAGTCGTAGCGGTGGAACTTTAAAACGGCTCGGTCAATTATTTAGCCATGTATGAGAGGATCACGCCACAGTGTCGTTTGAGTCGACAGTAACTCTCCCACAGCCCACGTAACTCCGTCTTTTTCAGGCACCTGGAGCCCTCCGCGGCCGCTTCTACGCCGGCGAAGCACCATTAAGCTGCTGTACGGCCCCGGCATCGCCTCCCCTGGCTTAGCTCTCAGTCAAGATATTGTGCACATGGGTGACCTCTACAATATACTCACTGACACTGAACCTCCCAGAGCTCGTCCCGGTCCGTCACGGCCATCCTCGGCCTCCGGCGGGCCCCCGGCCGCGGCGCGGTGCGGCGGCGTCACAAATCCGACCACAGAGCACCGGGACGCGGTCGGGCGATCTGAGGCCCAAGTAGGCGAATGCATTGCCCATCCAGGGCTATCACCTGGACCTATCAACAGGCGCCTGCGGCGCCGTGCTCAGGAGTTGGTTTTCACTCGCTCGAAATGTGTACCACCTTCGTACGTAAAAGGACGAGGACCGTTTAAGGAATCGGCGGCCCAGCAGCTCTTAAAACCTGCCCGGGCAGGTTTTAAGCCGTTTAAGCCGCAGGCGCGGCCCAGGGCCCACCCTTTAAAGCCAGGGGGGCCCAGGCCCGCGCTGGAGCGCTCCTGGGTGCGCTTCTTAGCTCCCCGGCCCTGGGTGTGAGGTTAATGAC